ACTGGTGCGGTGGAGTCTAAGTAACGCACAGTTCTACTTTTCAATAGTGTGCCAGCAGACAGAATTAAGAAACCATCTTACACAACACCTAACAGTTTGTCAACTCAGTGTTTTCCTATAAATTATATATAATAAATCCATAAAGAAACGGTTTTACACTTCACATATTAATCAGAGTAAGGTGGGAATTGTTATGTTTATTGGTTCAGCATCCATTTTATTGTACTTACTGTTTTATGAGTGACTAGACCCCCTCTTCTGGTGAGCACTGACAGATGCAATAACAGCACAGATACAGCAGTAGAAAAAACACCAGTATTAAAGTCCGGCTATTCCTCCCCTTTCTAGGAACAACCAAAACATTAAAACAAATAACGCTTTGCCTTCTGGTTTTCCACGAGAATCAGCACAGGAAACATAAAACGCTCGTTGCCTCGAGTCACTTCTGGCCAGGCAGAGGCACCGTGTATCCCCTCACTCCAATACGGAACTGGAGAGAAGGCTTCGTTTCTGGAAAGTTCCCAACTCTGACCTGCAGATTTCCAAAGCCCGCTTGCCGTACAGAAGGGTTTAAGAACTAGGGAGGAACAGCACTGCATGTACGTGACTAACACTAGGCTTCTGCTGGGCTAGGTGCCCCCTTTCTTTCAGAAGAGTACGTAGCTTTACCACTTCTGCTTTTTCTTGGAAAAATAACAAACAAAAACCTAAAAAGTGATCTCATTGCTTAGAAGTTTGCCACAAAATGGATGCTGACCAGCTAGGTCATCCCATGTGGAGCAGTTTTAGGAAGTTTTAGTCCTTGTAGTAGATGGCACTGTGGATCTGGCAGCAGAGAAAGGAATGATGCTCTGAAGTAGGAGGTAGGGGAGCTTCGATACATCAAGTCCACTGGTGAGATATCTGCTAGAAAAGAAGTTTCGTATTATTAGAAACTGAGTAAAACCAACAAAATCCTAGGCAAACCTTTACATAGCTATATTTTGTTATCGTTGGAGGTGCGTAGTGTGAAAAGTAGGGTTACCACATGCTGTGGTGAAAGTAGGAGAAAGGGAAGCCAACACTCCGCATTTTATTTGTTTAACAGGAAACACAGACCTTTACTTCTTTGTTTCTTTCTACGTAACCGGCATAAATATTGCCAATCTTTTTCCTGCACACATTGCCAACAACCAAACTAACGTCCCAGGCTCTGCAGAGTACCCAAGACAAGGAAGCCAGTTCAAATTTGTTCTTTCCCAAAGCAAAGCTTAACGTAAGTTCAACAGGTGTTTTGGAAATAGCAATTTTGCAGTTTTATGCTGCATGCAATTAGCACGATCCTTTATTTTAGCTTCTCTCAAGTACTCTGAGCACTCTTTTCACGGTGTGACTGTGCCATGCAATATCGTGAAAACTAAGTTTACTGAATGAGTAAGGATACAGCATCCAACTGAAAAACTGCAATAAAGAGTTTTTGTATGCTAGAATAGATCAGGGACAGAGTCATGCAAAGATTTTTCCACTTAAAACTATTGGGTAGGATAAGATCTCAAACACAGCAGGAGACCGCAGAGCTCCTCTGAATTTACACAGATGTTGCAGAGATCATTAGAAGTCCTTAGCTGCACCACCTATTAGCCAGAGTCACATCCTCTGCCGCTGCACAGGACAGAGCGACAGTCCAATATTCTGAAATGAGTCAAGACAAATGGCTTGTGCCAAGTAGATGAAGTTGGAAAAACACAAACTTACTCCAACGGCAGAACACAAGTGCAATACAACAGACACCCCAGGCACTAATAACCAAATAAAGAAGGACGTTTTCAGACAGAAGTGGAAGTCTAGATTTAAGGTTTAGCCTTAAGTTTGCCTGCTTGGAATCTTATGACAGAAAGACTTCCTGAGAATAAATAAGTTTCTTTTATCTACAAAAAAGAGAACAGTTTTGGACATAATACAGCACAAGTTATGTTAATGCATATTTACACAATCGAGATCTCAATTTCCTCTAAAAGTAAATCTGGTATCATAGAATCATGGAATGGTTTGGGTTGAAAGGGACCTTAAAGCCCCTCCAGTCCCCCCCCCTGCCATGGGCAGGGACCCCTTCCACTAGACCAGGTTGCTCCAAGCCTCATCCAGCCTGGCCTTGGACACTCCCAGGGATGGGGCAGCCACAGCTTCTCTGGGCAACCTGTCCCAGTGCCTCCCCACCCTCTCCGGAAGAATTTCTCCCTGACGTCCAATCCCAATCTCCCTCTTTCAGTTTAAACCCATTACCCCTTGTCCTGTCACTCCCTGCCCTTGGAAAAATCACCTGACCTGTATTAACATTTGGTGGCATAATGCAAAGCATTGATATTTCTACTTATTCAGAAAACCTAGTCCACACAAGATTTATGTGAGCAGCCTTTGATTACATACCACAGTGGGATAAATACTCTCAGTATGACAGAGTTTACCCCTCTGGGCATAGCAAACAGCTTGAGATTGATCCAGTATAAGGTTAACATGTACCTGAGACTCCACAGTTTTATCTTCCACTGGTCATACCTCTGTCTTCATAAATGGTAATTTCAATCTGCACAGAAAAGCTGTTACGGAAACATACTATAAAAATATTATGAAAACAAAACAAAAAGGCAGAAAAACATTAAGAACCTTGTATCTTTCTGCTTCATACCTGCTGTTTCAAGGCTAGTTTCAGAGCTACAAAGCAAATGGAAAAGGACATGTAAGAAAGGGCTGTCAGGTCAGGTCTTGGGTCTACGCAGCCCAGGACTGTTCCGAGAAGAAGAACAGAAGAGGCTCCACATTGAGGGTTTGTGAGCCTCGCCACCTCCTGTTAACCCTTAGGGCTATACCCTAGACAAAACTTAATACTTCTGCACTTCAGGTAGAAAGTCATTAACCAGACTGAGAATGCTTTTACTCAAGTGGAGTATCTTTTTCCCAGGAGGTGTACACACAGAAAAATGTGGAAAATATATTGAGTCATGTAGGTGACAGCTGTAAGCTACTGAAACACTGAGAGAACCCAACTGCAAGGAGTTAGCCTTGGCATGCATTTAACTGTCATTCTCTGTTTCAAGTTGCTTTGGTTTCAATATTCTCAAAAAATGATAGGTGTTACTCATTCTACCTCTAGATTTGCCATGCGGGGTCTTCACTAAGGTAATCAGTAGATAAAATGCCTGCAGTGTGGTTCAAGAGTTGAAGAAAAAAGGTTGAAATTAGCCATGCTAGAAGCAAGAGCAAGCGCCAGGCTGGTATCAGAGTGATGTCATATGGCCAAATCTTCACCAGGACCTGAGCTGATTGTTTCAAACGAAACAGCCACCTTTTGCTTTCAGGTCATCAATTCCTATCCTACCAAGTTGATCACTTGTTTCCAGTCTGACAAACTGCATTTTTACAGGTCATTGACATAGAGGAAGCATCTGGAAGAACTTGGTTTTCAAGGAAACCTCAAAGGATAGATTCCAAAAACTGCATTTTCATTGTCTTTTGATGTGACAGATGTTAGCATACTAAAATCTGACCACAGAACAGCACACAACGGAGAGTAACGAGACTAATCACATATTCTCCCCTATCACAGATCAAGCACGACCAGAGGGTGCCCACACTGAGCACATTGTAGAAGGACAAGGCAGGAGGCAGTCTAAGAAACCATGGAAGGATACAACTCTTAGTCCTCTTTCAATGGGGTCTGTCAGAAGGAGGCCCTGAGGAGCATAGATCTTCTCATTCTGTTCCTGAATGAACTTGGCAATTTTCTTTAGAACCTGGTAAAAGAACAGCACAGAAGTCACAGTTACATTCAAGTCGGAGCCCCAGCAGCAGCAGCCATCGCAGCATTAGGAGAACAAAGGACACAGCTAGGAGACAGAACATGCGTGACCCCGCTGAAGCACAAGCGATCGTTACGTTACTCCAGCATACAGCCAAGTGTCTGATGTACGTGTGAAACCACTGCGGTAAGATCCAGACGCTACATGGAATTTGTACAACAGTGGTGCAAGTCACAGAAAACCGACCAAGAAATAAGGCTTTGACTGAAGCCCGAGACCTAGTGCCTTCCAAGTAACGAGGTAAACAAAAGCAGCGCACCTTTTCATAATGCGTTTCCATGCACAGGAAAATGGTATAGGCGGTCAGACAGGCAAGACACCCTTCAAGGTAAGATTGGCCCCCAAGTTTTTCAGCTTCTGCATAGAGGTTATTCAGCGTTCGGACAGTCTCTTCAAACTGCTGCCTATCAATCTGCAAGAGAAGTCAGGTTTAGCTGTCACGGCCTGCACATTTCCGAACTCACCGGTATCTTCCGATAGCCACCTTCATTTATACCTTATCTGCACTTTCCTGCTTTGCAGCCGCTGTGTTTAGAGCCAAAGTCTGAAGGACACTGAGTTATAGACCTGATTTACAGTTCCTTGTTAAGTATCTGCCAAGTGATTAGACTGAATCTGAATTCCAGCACAATGTAAACACAAAACGATTAAGAGTAACACGGCAGGGGAGTTGGAACTAGATGGTCTTTAAGGTCCCTTCCAACCCAAACCATTCTATGATTCTATGAACTAAACCAATGTGCAATTCAGTTGGAAAAAAGCTCAATTCACAGGCAGAGAGAGCTGCAACATTAAAGAGAGCTGTTAGGGCGTGGATTGACAGAGCTAACTTTCTATCAATAACACCCTGCTGCTGCTGCAGTGCTGGTCAAACAAGTTCTCAACAAAACAATACAAAGAAATGAGGAAGAGAAAAAAAAGCAGAGCGAGAGACAGAAAAGACATTAGCAGGAGTGTTTGTTTTGGTATCAGTTGAAGATATTACATCTGACAGCATTAAAATTCAAGTACTTGAGACAGCACTTGTGAGGCTACTGAACAGGCTCACCAGCACTGGCTGGACTCCACGAGAGAGGACAGTGTTAACACACGGCAGCACAACGCAGGCTTTATTCTCAGTCATAATGAATACATTCTGTATTACTGCTACAAAGGACAGCTGCCTTCCTCGGCATTAAAGAGGGCGCAGAACACCAGCATTTCATAAACACTGAAAGGAGGCATTTTCAACTATTTTTCACGTGGCTTTTCACTGCAAACTGAAAAGTATTTGCTTACTGTTACTGCTCAAAAATGCCATTTGGACAACAAAAAATGCGTTTATGCCAAAACATAAACAATATCTAACGTAGGATATGCCTTTAAACTTTGGAATCACGGCTCTTTCACACTATGCGCAGGGCTGTAACAAAAATACAGAATTAAAAACGCTGCTGCCTTTAAAGACAGATTTCAGACCCAACACAGCACCCTTGGGGTGTGCCACAGAGAGGACTGTTCCCAGGACAGGGACACGGGGGACAAACCCCACCTCCCTCCTACACCTAAAGGCC